ACATAAAATTGGCAATTACGATAGCTTAATGTTCAAAATGCATTCCTCCATGGTGACCTATGAGAGACGGTATATTTACAGCAACCACATGGTTTTATGGATCCATAAAAACCAGATCACGTGTGCCTTTTACACAAGTCGTTATATGGTTTAAAACGGATCCATCACTCTTCTGGTGAGTAATCAAGTGGTTCAAAGTTTGGGACATTCATTTCTCATTTAAGATATGGGTCGACTCTCCTATATTCTAGGGATCGAAATCATTCCATGTGGAAAGGACATAATTTTGTCACAACAGAAGTATATGTTGGAGTTACTTGAATGTGCAAATTTATCCAAAGCCAACCCTATGCACACACCGATTTCCACTAATGCTAATCTTTTCCTTGGTGACAGTCATCCACTTGATGACCCAATTCAATATTGTTAAATAAGTTCAATATCATCAAATAGTAGGTGCATTTCGGTATGTCACCTTGTCTCAACCTGATATTGCATATGTTGTTAAACAAAGCATGTCAATTCATGCACTCACATACTGTTAATCACTTGTCAACCATTAAGCGGATCCCGAGGTACTTAAAAGGAGCATCAATGTTTAGCATGCTAATTCATCATGACCCTAGAACTACACTTCATGCTTACATTGATTATGTTTCCAATAACCTGTGCGCTTTTTCTGACGGATTGGCCTGGTTATCTGGACGACTTTCAATCCACGGTGGGATATGCTATATATATATATATATATATATATATATATATATATATATATATAATAAGGTTATTTATGATTTATTAATATATTACAAGTATAACATATTAATATGAAATCGTATTATTTAATTAGTATTGATCAAGAATTAATTTGAAATTAATTTTGTGATCAAAAGAGACTAATAGGTTAAAACAAATTTAGATTTTTAAGTTTCAAAGTCTTAATAGGTTAAACTTTTAAAATGCAATGTCTTTATAGGCTACATATTGAGACTATAATGCTAAAATTAAAATAATAATGCTATAATTACTTAGATTTCCAAGCACATTGTCTTAATATGAAAAAAAAAAAAAAAAAGTAACAGAAAAAAAATTGAAAGCGCAATGTTACAATTGATAACCAAAATCAAACATGTGAGAAAATATTTTAACAGGTTTATAAAGTACAATGTTATAATTGTTTCGACTTTCAAAGTATAATGTGTAAGTATGTTAGATTTTCAAAGTGTATTGTCTTGTTAAGAAAAAAGTTGAAAGGTAAAATGTTTTCAAAGTGCATTGTCTTAATAAGAAAAAAAGTTAACAGTACAACATTTAAATTTTTGAATATAAAATACTATAAATGTTAACAGTACAAACAAGTTTAGATTTGAAAAATACAAGTCTTACTTGATTAATTTTTTAATATGTAACGTCTTAGAAGAAAAATAATTAAATGTGTAATGTTTTAATAGAAAAAGGAGTTGAAAGTACAATGTTGGATTTTGAAAGTACAATAACTTAATAGGAAAAATGGTATGATTCGTAGCCTAAATCAAACAAGTTTAGATAACCAATCTATAATGTCTAAATATGTAAGTTTTGAAAGCCTAATAACCATAAGGAATTGATGTCTTATTATGCAAAAATATGAAACCATAATTGGTTAGATTTCAAATAATAGTATCTTAATATGAAAACAATGCAAGTATAATGATATAATTGGTAACTAGAATAAAACAAGTTTAATATTTTAAAAGTAAAATGTCTTTGATCGATTAGATTTTCAAAGTGTAATGTCTTAATAGGAAAAAAAATTAAAAGTAAAAAGTCTTAATAGGTTAATATGAAATTTATAATGCTATAATTGGTTAAAGATTATCATAGTATAATTTCATAATATTGGAAAACCAGAAGTATTGTGCCTTGATTGTTAAAATTTCAATGCACAATTTTTACTATAAATGACTTAAAATCATAATATGAATAAAACTTCAATGCAAAATGGTCATGTTGAAATATCTAAAAATATTTGTGTTGTTAAAGCTAACGTCCCATGGAAACATGAAATGAGTACCAAAGTTTCAAAAAATATTCTTTTTTAGAGAATCTGTTATGGGATTATTAGGATATAGTTATGTTCCTCGAACATGCAAATGGAAAATGGTCATTATCATAAATTTAACAAATGGGCTTGCTAAAGTTGAGAACAAGAGACCAAACACAATATTTTCAAACAATGAAATGAGTATCATATTTTGAAAAAAGATTTTATTTTGAAAGCCTATGGAAAGAAACAGAAACTTTGTTGCAATTTCATCATGCTCCTCGAAAATGGAAATGAAAGAGACAAAGATGCTAGGGACAAAATAGTCATTTTCATAAACTTAAATTATGTGAACTTTTAACATAAAAATAGATTGAATTACTCGCTAAATAAAAGCATTTTTATCAAGTCAAACATACACAAATCCAAAAAATATAAGACATCATTATCCACGCAACACTTTATCAATGCAATACATATTGAAAAAAAAAAAGGTTATGTGCCTCATATATGGAACAATACACAGTCTCATAGAAGCTATCTTTCCAAAATTTAGTTAGATATGCAAAGATTCAAGAACCTGGGTGGATATCCATTGAGGAAAAAGGTGGACTAAAAACTAATGAATTAATTTGATAGAATACTTATTTTCTTTCCATTTTACATAAACATAATAAAATGAATTTCATTCCTATGGAATTTGTTCCATTTTAATATATGTAATATTTTAAAGCATGCCATAAAAAATTTATTACCTCTTCATATCGACCACTTGTTTTTAACATTTCGATCTACCAAGGACCACACCATTTCCTGAAGTAATAAATAAGCAAGGAAAGGAGGGGTACTTTTGGAAATACACAAACAGGGTCATAGACTCATAGCTATCTGCATACTTCCATGCTTTGTCATCATATAATCAGTGGATAGAATGTGGTAATTTGATAAAGCAAGTTCATAATTTCATAATATGAAGGCATAAATACCCTTATTTGAGATTCAATGATAACACCCTTATTAGTTATTTGATTATATCCATTGGAACTAATAACTTACCTTGTTATTTCCCACAATTTCCTTAAAAATTTAACATAAGTTTTGAGGCTTGTTGTTATCATAACCAATTTGGTGATATGATATCCATCATCATTGGTGAAGAAACTTGTTGCATCATCTCTGCCTCTCTTTCTGCCATTATTAAAAAAAATTAATATTTTTAATCTGAAAACAAACACACAAAACACTACATGACTAAATTTAAATCAATGAAGCTTTATAGTAATTACAAAATGATGGTTACCTTCTTGGATCCCTTCCAGAAGAAGATGTTAAGAATTAGGATGATGGTTACCTTCCCATAAGAGATACGAAGAATTTGAGAGTGTATTTACTACTCACCAACACATGAGAACTATAATTACTCAAAGCCTATTAAAAACTAAAAAATTGATTGATAATGAAATTAACTCTTTTTTATAAATATAGGTGGTTCGAGGTCATGGAAATTAACTCTCTTATGAACGTTTTGTGGAAACTAAAAACCAAAAACTGAACTACAATGATATTATTGGGAATATATTTTCTTAAAGTAGGTAGGATACATGAGATTCTTTTTTGACTTAAGTATACCAACTTACCAAAGCTTTAAATTTCCGGAATCACGTCTTCTGTGAAACGAAAGCCCAACATGCATAGTAAGATACCATTTGATATTTTGAGCATGTCAACTTACACAGACAGTATCTCATGAACGCTTTTGATCAATCATTTGGCAAAATACAAAATGAGTATAAAAAAATTGATTATTATGCCTTAATGAGAGATAGCCTTGATTAGTGCACACCTTTCAACGGGAGTCGTGTTGATTGTGAAACTTGATTCGGTTGTTCATGCCACAACGTTACACGACTTTTAGTGTAAACTTAAAAGATGAAGGCAGAAATAAAATGTTTTGTAACAATTACCGAATCCAAATAATACTAAATTGTGGAACTTAGTTTGGTTCTTAGAATAGACTTAGTGCTAATAAATGTGTATGATGTCTTAATATGAAGGGATAATGACTTAAAAAGGTAATGACGTTTCAAAAATGTACAAAAAAGACCATTATCTTTTTTTCTTATTACATAAAATACCATTAATGTATATTTTTTGTACACAAAATACCAACGAAGTACACATGTGTTCAAATAAAACCTTATGGTAACCCGTTACCTCAGGTAAACAAAAAAATGACTTAAAAGGTAACAAAGTTTCCAAAATGTTCAAAAAATATCATTATTTTTTTAGTAAAAAAAATACCTTTGAAGTATATTATTTGTACATAAAATACCAACAAAGTACATATTTTAGTACAAAAATACCATTGAAATTTCTAAAAAGTTAAAAAAAAAAAACCATTGTTTTTTCAGAGCACATTTTATTAACTCCGTTGTTTCCATTTTCCGGATTATATAAAACATGGTCATCGGAGATTAGTCACCGTCGTACTAGTTCACACCAGTTGTGTACTCTTTTTCATTCGATCACTCGATCAGTTTGTGTCTAAATCCATATTTAGGAATGCTCATGACATAACGTCACACTCGTTTCTCCTTTATGTTTCTCTTATGTCACAAGACTAATGAACGGTTAACCATGATGTATAATATGTGCATATATATAACGTATATATGTTTTAGGTTTGAGGCATAAATGTGATCAGGAAGCAAGAATGTTTACCTAAGGTTATTACCCACTTACTTCTCTTGTTACCATAAGAACGATTGAGTGTAGGAATGTAAGAGATTTGCACAATTGTCTTATTTGAAAATCTTCTCCTATTAAACTAATTTCATCCAGAGTTTTTAGAAAGCGAACTACATACTCGCATTGAATCCTAGATCTGACATGCCATATTTATATTTTTATTCACAAAAGAGAATTGATTATTACCTCATATGAGATACAAAAGTAAATACCATGTCGCATTTCCCTTCCCTCTTTATATTGACCAGTTGTTTCTAATACTTTAACCCACCAAATACCACACCATGTGGCATTTCCCTTCCCTGATGTCTCAAATTGCCAAAAGAAAGTAAACTTTTTAGATAAATAAAAAACTTGACTAAATAACATATATAAAATGTAAATAATTACCAGGCATACTAAATAAGTGTTGATAGCATTTTCCATGCAATATTCAGAATCTTTTTAAGAGAATAAGCACATCCTTTCCTAAAGATAATAAATAACCAAAAGTTTTAGAAACAGAGGGGTATTTCTGGAAATACACAAACAGGGTCGTAGACTCATCGTAGCTATAGCTATATGTAAAGCTGTATATTGTTTCCATGCTTTGTCTGCTTGTAATCAATGGATTGAAGGCAATAGTTTGATAAAGCAAAGTTAAACTTTTAAAATGCAATGTCTTTATATTGAGACTATAATGCCACAATTGAAATAATAATGCTATAATTGCTTAGATTTTCCAAGTACATTGTCTTAATATGAAAAAAAAAAGTAACAGAAAAGTAAATTGAAAGTACAATTTTACAAGTACGGACCAAAATCAAACATATGAGAAAATATTTTAACAGGTTGGATTTATTAAGTATTATGTTATAATTGTTTCGATTTTCAAAGTATAATGTCTAAGTATTTCAAAGTGTAATGTCTTGCTAAGAAAAAAGTTGAAAGGCGGAATGTGGAATGTGTTCAAAGTGCATTGTCTTAATAAGAAAAAAAGTTAACAGTACAATGTTTAAAATTTTGAATATAAAATACTATAAATGTTAACAGTACAAACAAGTTTAGATTTGAAAAATACAAGTCTTACTAGGTTGGTTTTTTAAAATGCAATGTCTTAGAATGAAAATAGTTAAATGTGTAATGTCTTAATAGAAAAAACAGTTGAAAGTACAATGTTGGATTTTGAAAGTACAATAACTTAATAAGAAAAATAGTTGTAAAAAAATGAACTACAATGGTATGATTTGTAGCCTAAATCAAACAAGTTTAGATAACCAAAGTAGAATGTCTGAATAGGTTAGTTTTGAAAGAGAAATTTGGCAAGCAAAAAAGAACATGTATTGACTTGTGGGTAAATGTGGTTTTTATGAATTAGGGAAATTATGAAGTAACATACACAAACAAAATTATTAAGATTTTACAATCATTGTTTGGAGTCGAATATAAAAACCTTTTTGATTGCAGAAAAACCAACTCCATTTTGCTTCCCATATGCTCCCAGCGTTACTGTTAAACACTATAAAGATTGAAGAAGGTGAATAATTTAAGCAAAAAGGGTAAAAAAACATGAAAAACGAAAAAATTATTGTAAAACACCATAGGTTATTTTCTTGAAAAACAATATTACTGAAATGCAATCAGGTTTAGATGGGATAAGGAATCATAACAAAGGAAATTGTTAGGACATGCTATAGATGACAAATTGGAAGCAAAGACTAAAATAGGATTCTCATATCAAATTGGGCTAAGTAATCACAAAACCAAATGGAAATTGGCAAAGGGCATAAAAATCAAATAATAAAAAGGAGTCAGAAGCAAAGACTAAAATACGATTTTCATATCAATGTAACCTAACCAAGCATCATAACATATTTAGAATTCTTGAAAACTTTGAGTGGGTATGACGAATGAAAGAATGTAAAAGTCCATTCGATTAAAGATTCCCCTGGTAGGGAGGGATAAGTAATCAGAAAACCAAATGGAAATAGGCAAAGGGCATCAAAACTAAATAATAAAAAGGAATCACAAGGAAAGACTACAATTGATGTATTGGTCTTTTAGAAGTCGTCTGTTCCAATTTATACAAAGAGCAATCAAAATCGAAATACACAACCAAAATAGGAATAAAAAAATAATTTTGGGACTTTTTTTTACTGTGAATTGTGATAGATGGCAGCATAAAAAGACAATTATCTTCCTACCCATTTGAAATAATGACAAGTGCTCAAAAATATAATTAATTTTATCAAAATATTGTCATTTCATATGGGTAGGAAGATATGTAGGAAAAAAAGGTAGGAGAATATTTATTTTCTCCAAAAAGGATTATGTGAGAAGGGTTATAGATCAGCAGGTGCAAATTTTAAAAAGTGGCTAATAAGGGACGAAAATTGCCAAAATATAAAAAATTATGTGGCATGTCATATATTAATAATCAGCAAAATACGGTTTAGTTATTTACCTTGGCATCGTATATAGTCATTTAGCTTTTTCTCCAGATTTCTAGTTGCTCTTGACTGCTGGGAAATAACCACAAATTAGTAATTGAAATACATAAATTAAGATAGTTATGGAAGCTTTTACAATCTTCACAAATTAATATAAAATAAAATGTGGCAGATTATATGACCCTAATAATAACCCGTGATGACAGTGTTGTTGCTAATCAACCAATATTACAAGAAGATTTTAAAAAGTTAATAGATAGTCAATACATGATATAACCTCCTCATAAAGAAACCAACAAACTAGGATATGTTAAAAAGCCTAACACATTCAAACCAAATGACTTATCCAAGATTTTGACCAGAGTTATTTTGTTAGTAATATCCAAATCAATGAAAGAGAAACAAGAAAGGAATTTTGTAAGTACGATGCAATTATGTTGTTATTATGGGTTACACATAACTACCATAAGTAAAATATAAAGTATATATTGCGTACATTGGTAAAAAGAATGAAGTATGTTGCTATTTCTTGATATTTACCGTGTAAAAAAATAAAAAAACAAATGTGTTACCTCTTCAACCCCAAAAGGATGCTGTTGTGGCTTTCATAATTTAGCAAGTTGCCAAAAATAGATGAAAAATAGTAACTTTTTCATGACAATTATACGAGACAAAGCCTAATTATTTTTGGTAAAAAAGTAGCTTTTGTTAATTTATTTTCTGATATAAATTACCTCAAGAGGGTCAGAGGGTACTCAGGGACTCTTTGGGAACTATTTGGTGGTCTTTGGAAGCCCAATAATTTCTCCTCCTTGACTTTGACTTTGACCATCTACAAGGCCTCTGCCTGCTGCCCGAATGATTGTCTTCTGGAGTAGTATCTTCTGATTGTTATCAAAGGGAGAGCCTCTGAATGAAGATGAAGGTGTTCCATTTGAAAGAGAGAGATGTTTGTTGGAAGCTCCAATGAAGACAAAGTTCTTTGAAGAGGATCTTGAATGTTGTTCACATGAAATACATTCGTGTCTTCTTCTGAGGATCTGAAACAAAAACAAGAATAATTTTTAAGCATATCAGATATCAGATGCAACTTTTTTTTTATGGAAAGATATGATTTTTTTTGGGGTGTTAATTATGGAAATGAGATAGATGAAGAACACAAAGGAAAAATGATTCATGTTGAAATATTTAATACCTGTGTTGCTAAAGTTGACGACCCATGAAATGAGTACCAAAATTTCAAAAAATATTCTTTTTTGGAGAATCTTTTCTGGGATTATTAGGACATAGTTATGCTCCTTAAACACGGAAATGGAAGAGATGAAGACATTGGCAAAATGGTCTTTATAATAAATTTAACATATGGGCTGCTAAGGTTGAGAACAAGAGACCAAACACATTATTATCAAACAATGAAATGAGTACCATATTTTCAAAGAAAACACTATTTTTAAAGATTTAAGGTTTAGTTATGCTCCTTCAACATATATGACAATAGTTTTTAAGGAAAGAGAGAAATTTTGTTGAAATTTCATTATGCACCTTGAAAATGGAATAGAAAGAGACGAAGATGACAGGGACAAAATCGTCATTTTCATAAATTTAACATCTAGGTGATGACCCAGGTACCAAAAGCGGTTGAGAAATCATGAAATAAGGACCAAAACTGCAAAAAGACTCCCTTTTGGATTGGACCTAAACAATGCATACCAAAAGCAGACGAGAAGAGAGTAAGTATTATATCATCATCATACAAATATTTGCACTTCATCTTTGTAGCAGCCGCCTTGGAACACACACCCTCGTGGCATGAGGGGATGGTGAATGTTGATCATTGGATCATCGGATGTATAGCTCATCTCAAGGACATTCACAAGCTTTACTTCTGAAACATGTGTGCTATATATACATCTTAAACGCAAAAAATGTACTTTCATGTACTACAGCATAGCATAGAAGATGCATTCTTGCCTGAAAGATAATTTTGTACCCTTGTTCTACCACTAACTACCACAACAACAAAATATGTGGCTATGGTAATGAAATGTAGAGGCCAGAGGGTTTACATTAAGAGTGTATATATGAATATGAAATCTATACTTGATAAAAAAAAAAAAACATGCAACAACAATAATGTACATTGATTTAGGAATGTTATCAAGATACCAAGAAATTTTCATTGCTATGATTGGATATATTTTTAAAACTATGATATCCTAACAAGAAAGATTACAAGTACAACGCTATAACTGCATAGAATAGAGTTTTCATAATGTAACGCCCTTATAAGAAAAAGAAAAGGTTGAAAATACAATGATGTAATAACAGAAAGAAATGGAAGTTCGATGCTATATAGAAAACCAACCACAAGTAGGGTTAGGGGGCCTACATGACCCATGACGACATCCATCCTTCTCATTCACACAAGTAAATTTTTTGAGATAAAATGTCCTAATAAGAAAAAGAAAAAAAATGAAGTACGATGCTATAAAAGGGTAGGTTATTCAAAGTAAAATGTCACAATAAGAAAATGTTAAAATTTGACTCAATTTTTTAAGCAGGATACCCTAATAAGAAAAAGATGAAAGTACAATGCTATAAACATCTATAAAAAGTATAATGTCCTAATAAGAAAATAGTAAAAGTAGGATGCTATATAATTTAGTAAATTTTTTGAACTTTTAAAGTACAATGTCTTGATAAAAAAAAGTTGATAGAAAGAAATGACCTATGTAGGATGCATAAAACTCAAATAAATGAAAGTAAGTTATTACTTATATCTTTTGAAGTATGGAACAAAATCTAAAAGGCGCCTTCCCTCTCTTGTGCTGAAGAAGGTTTTGAAAATTGTTACCTTTAATTTAAATAATGCTTTTTGCCTCTTCACTGCAATCATAACACTGCAATAACCAACCACACACACACACACACATAATTGAGTATCAATGATTGAAAAATACATAAAATATCTCATTTATACCCCAGCCATCATATGCTATGTTATATAATTGTGTAACTCAGTAGGTTGAACTCAGTTCTGCCATGTCATCCAACAATTTCAAGCTGTTGACCTACACCAATGAAAATATAGCAAGTAAGCCAAAAAGAAAGAGTTGTTTTGTCATGAACTTGATTTTCTTTGGAAAGGTACAAAACCAACATGCAAGGAGAAATTAGTATACAAATGACATACATGCCTTGGCATAAGTCATCCATTTGTATCTTTAAAGAAATGCAGATAAAATTTTTAAGTACTTGTTTTGTACACAATCCGCCTTAAAATATAATAAACTACTTAACATTGACCAACTAAATTGCACTTGGCATATGATGTTTTCTCAAATTCATCAGAGTAATCTCCCTGTGCCAATTCGAAAATGTTCATGAAATACCCTTGTCCACCATAAAAAATCAAAAATAACCTGTTAGCATTTCTTCAAGTTAAAGATTGTTGTTTTTGGATGAAAAACTATAAATACATTGCTATAAGTAAATAATAATGTATTTTGTACATATCGGTAAAAGATGGCAGAGTATGTTGTTGTTTCCCACAACTTTCCATCAAAAAATTTAGCATACGTTTTAAGGCTTGTTGTTATCATAATCAATTTGGGTGATATATATATATATATATATATATATATATTTATTTATCATTGGTAAAGACACTTGTTGCACCATCTGATATGTCTCTCTTGTTGCCATTATTCAGTAATAATAATAATAATAATGATAATAATAATAATAATAATAATAATAATAATAATAATAATAATAATCTGAAAATGAACACAGAAACATCACATGACTAAATTTAAATCAATGAAGCTTCATAGTTCATACATAGACCCCAGCTTCTCTAATTTTCAAAAAGGAAAATATATGTTGGCCTTTAAACATGATCTGATCAGATGCAAAGCTATGAGAGGTTATACTTGGATCCCTTCCAGATAATGTTAAAATGAATATCACCCAAGTATATATTTCATTCACTTAACTATTTTTTTAAGTGAGCTTTATTTCACAGTTTTATAGAAAAAAAAAAATATGACATAATGGTAACTAAATTACACCAAACATGAATAATTAATGCAACTAAGTACATGTTAAATAAGACAAACACTATTTAGCCCCAATCCTCTAATAAATACTAATCCTAATGATAATATGAATTAAAAATGGAGATAAGTAAAAAAATATTTACCTGTTTACATAATATCCTTATGGTGTGTAGACAACAGTGCCAAAAAACCCAAGATAATACTACTCCATATACAGTTCTAAAGTCAATGTAAAATGCTTCTCTTTCCTGAAACAAACCAACCTTCATTGCGTCTTCCATTCCAAAATCAAGAAAAGGTTGTAATACAAGAACAACAAATATAAACAAGCTTCAAATGATAAGGCAGAAAAATAAAACAAATTCTACATTAATTATAAAGTCAAAGTAGTTGGCATCAAAGCAATCAATCAGATTTAAAGAATTGGATTAATTTAAGGCAACAACAGCCTTATTGTTGGGGTTGACTATGTTATGATCCCACATGCAGATAGATTTTTCATTCGTTTAGGGTTTCAATTAAACAATCAATACCCTCTAATAAGTGAAGCACAAAAGCATTAAAGCATCATAAGCGACTAATTTGTCAACTGCTACTATTAGAAGGGATAAAATAATATATTATTAGTAAGAGAATTTTTGTAACAGAAAGATAATTATCAAGGAAAGTATAACAAATATCATTTTGGATATGCAGTTAGGTTTTACCAGATGGCCATATGTAATCAGGAACTTGATGCAATCAAAGGATTCATGATATTCAATAAAACCCAAACAGTGAAACACCCTAAGGGTGTTTTTGGTTGTGGAAAATATTTTTCCAAAAAAAAAACAGAAATTTTAAAAATGCGTTTGGTTCATCCAAAGTTTTCTAAGAAAATAAAAAAATTTAGTTTTCCAAATTTCTAAGATGGAAAATGAAAACTCCACCGGTTTCAATCAAACGTGTTTTCTAAAATTTTCATTGAAAACTGAAAATGAAAACTCAATTTTATTTTCTACAAAAATGAAACAATTTTCCACAACCAAACACAAACCTTAACCTTTGTCGAACACCAAGAGGATTAAAGAATTAAAACACCCACTGCATTCAACGATTGAAAAATACCTCATTAATTTAAACCCCACCCATCATATGCCTTGTTATATAATCGTGTAACTTAGTAGGTTGAACTCAGTTCTGCCATGTCATCCAACAATTTCAAGCTGTTGACCTACACCAATGAAAATATAGCAAGTAAGCCAAAAAGAAAGAGATGTTTTGTCATGAACTTGATTTTCTTTGGAAAGGTACAAAACCAACATGCAAGGAGAAATTAGTATACAAGTGACATACATGCCTTGGATAAGTCATCCATTTGTATCTTTACAAAAATGCAGATAAATAAATAATAAAGTATTTGTTTTGTACCCAATCTGCCTTAAAAAATAATAAACTACTCAATATACTCTCCTCCAATGATAACTCCATCTACTTGTAATCTCGGAACGTTTTAGATGCATACATATTGTGGAAGCAAATTAGCGATGTGTTTTTTTTTCCAAATATATACAACTTCAGTGAATAAAGTATTTAATGATAAACTATGAATAAGAATAACTTACAAAGGCACATAAACTCAAGAATGTATATGATTGATGATAGTTCTCTCACAATTATAGAGGTGAGAGTCTCTCCAAGGTTCATAAGAACAATAACATATTCTCGATAAACAGCCCTACACTGCAAACAAGCTTAAATACACTCCTAAGGGACCACTGGGACCACAACCCAGCTGGCAGAATTCCCCACGATTACAGCAGTAGAACAAAATTAGTGTTAAGGTCATAACCACCTGAAGGAATAACAGAAACAAAAGGGATAAAGTAAAAAGGGAAAACAGACACTTCACCACACTCCCATGCTGCTTTATTATTTATTGACCTTTCTACCCCTCCTGCTGTAAACTAGAAGTTCTTGAGGCTTATCATATTAGTACACAAAATTATGATGTAAATTGTAAGGTAACAGCAAAAAGATGCTTGTTCAAGCATCACAGCTGAACAAAGAGGTTCCTGCAAAAAAAATTGAAGTTTTTCACAAAATTCACATATTTATATTTTTATTCACAAAAGAGAATTGATTATTACCTTCAACACCAACACCCTTTTTATATTCACCACGTGTTTTTAACATTTGAACCCACCAAAGACCACACCATGTGACATTTCCCTTCCCTGATGTCTCAATTTGCTAATTGAAAGTACGCTTTTTAGATAAATAAAAATTTTGATTATATAATAAATATGAACTGTAAAGAACTACTAGGCGTACTAAATAAGTGCTGAAGGCATTTTCCATGCAATATTTTGCATCTTTTTAAGAAAATAAGCACATCATTTGCTGAGGATAATAAATAAGCACAATTTTCAGGAATAGAAGGGTATTTTTGGAAATACACAAACAGGGTCATAGACTCATAGTTATAGCTACCTGTACATCATTTCCATGCTTTATCAGCTTGTAATTAGTGGATTGAAGGCAGTAATTTGATAAAGCAAGGTATTTGAGATTCAATGGACCTAAATGTGTACCTTTAAACATTAAAAGAAAAACTAAATAAGAACATCGAAAACATCAAGTGTTTTATAGTATTAAGGGTAAAAACATACATGTTAACACTTTGATTCTTGGGAGTATCTTCTTTTCCTTTTCTAAACCACAAGTTTTGTATTTGGTTTCTGGAACCTTTTCTTATTGCAGAGTAATGAATGGAATTTGTAAAAGGAATTGGAATTAAGGATAGCAAGTAATCTCGGAATAGTGGAAGGGAATTTGCGGTTCTCAAAATATTTTTGAAATGAATGAAATTTATCAAAGGAATTGGAATCTGTCGTATGTATGGTTGAAAAGAAATGGAAAGGATTTCAATTCCATTCATGTTTTGTTTTGTGTTTGGTTTGTAAATCTATCAAGAGAATTGAAGTGAAAATTATGTTAAATGACAAAAACACCCTTTAGTGACTTTTTTTTTAGATCAATAGAACTGCTATTATAACTAAATCCATGTAATTTAAATGGGAGAATGAGCAACAATGCAATTTAAAAACTTACATGTAATAGATGATCAAAAGATACATTGCATACAAATTCTTTAATGAAAAACTGGAATCATGTTGGTACAAAATCAGGTTGAGAAGCTGCAGGGGCAAGTAACTAAAAATAATTTTAAAATGATAAAATCTAAACTGTTAAAGTTGTGTGTAAAAACTTACAGATATGTATAGTTTCTACTTCTATGTATAGGTGATGGATAGCTCTAAGTACAAGTCTGAATCGTCATTGTTTCCTGCATCAACAACAACCAGTCTGAATCTGAATCCTCATAAAAAAAAAAAGCATTGTATCATGTGATGAATGTTGTGAACAAGTAAACAAATAAATTTATACCTCAACATTTGGTTGTCAACATCTGATGCATACAACATTTGCAATTTGAAGCCTATAAACAATATGGAAAGGCTTTTTTTCATTATTACCCTATTAGACATTTTGTATGTATATTAATATTAAGTAATTAACATTGGGGATTCAATATGTGTTGATAAATGTGGCAGATTATGTGACCCTAATAACAACCGGTGATGACAATGTTGTTGTTAGCCATAATTTGTTATTCACAAAAAGAGATTTGAGAAAAACATTCGTGATCTGATCTGATCTGATCTGATAAAATTGGTTATTCATAAGAACAAATTCTGAAACAAGCGTACCAGACACGCTAAATCAGATTTTACAGAGAAAAAAATCAATAAAAAGATAGAGGAGAAAACCCTAACGAGACGATGAACAAAACTATGTAGTTTCCTTATGTTTTTAAGTTGCAATACAACTTGTGCAATTAGAAAGCCAGAGTTTATTGAAAAACAAAACGCAACTGCAGGAGATTACAACATCTGAAATAAAGAAAACCCTAGAGAACTAAAATAAAAGGGAAAAGAGAAAAATGATAAGAATGAAAACTTACAGATGACTTCTTAGGAATACCGACATGGTTGTGACTTATGAGTTGTGAGTGTCCTACGACGGGTGGGGGTGCTTGTGTCTCCGGTGATCTGAGTTACAGAGGTTGCGACGAGTCGTCTCCGACGGTGTTTGGAGAGCGGAGCGGGATGAGTGAAGTGAAGAAGGAAGAGTGGAGAACGTAACGTATATTTAATGCGCGGCAATACACCGACCCAAACCTTTTGGCTTCCCAATTCCAACGGTCTTTTATAAAACCTTTCCAAGATTAAAACCATTTACAGGTCTCCGGTGAGTTTTGTAAAATGCTGGTTGTTTCCCCCTAACTTCCATTCGTATTCCAAACAATTGACATAAATGGTCCCTTGAATATTAAAACTTGTTATTTATACTTTTATTAAATTTTATACATGTGCTTTTTTATAAAATATTATTAAACTTTATGTTAGTTTTTAACAAATAATATCAGAAGATCCCATCAAGCGTCATTTATAAACTGTTAGATGAAAATTTTGTTTATATTGATTTATTTAAAAAATGTAAGAATATAAATACAATGTTACATTCAAAAAGATTTCATTTTTAAAGATTTAGGGTTTAGTTATGCTCCTTCAAAATGGAAATGAAAGAGACGAAAGCGAATGCGACAGAGACAAAATTGTCATTTTTATAAAGTTAACTTCAAACGCCGACTGATGGCATATTGAGTTGGATGAATTGTCACATTATCCTTCAGGTTGAGGTAAAATATTTGTGCATCTTCTCTTCTTGATGAGCCCTAAACGTAGAACCTAAAGATACAAGATGTGGGATCTAAATAATTCAATGTAAAGCAACATGAACTGATTAAGTAAAATACTACTATATGTTATTATTTATAAAGCAGCATCCAGAAAGAGTAAGAGAAAGACCACCGACTATATAGCAAAGATCTATGCTCTCCAAAACCCAAACACAAAAAAGAATCACTCAACTACGAATTTCACATCAATAACTTTTAAATTATGTGAACTTGACAATCTGACAATCTGTACAATTTTAGACTTTCAATTCCTTAGATACGACATTTCTTAAATAGATACTTCCTAACTGACAGTTTGTATAGTTTCATGCCTCTAATACCGTGAATACGACAATTCTTTAAAGAGAAACTGTCTAACTGACAATTTGTACGGTTTCATGCCTTCAATTCCTTATGAAATTAGTGTGAAGTGTAACTCCGACAATTCCTTTCAAGATCTTTACTTGCACAGAAAATTCCGACATGGTCTCCTTAGTCTCTTCTTCTTTTGAATTCACTTTTTAAGACAAATGAAATTTTGAGATTAAAAATAAAAATAAAAATAAACTTAGCACACAATAAAAATAACTAAGAATAAAAATAAAATTAAAATACAAAACAGTAAAAATATATATTTTTAATTTTTTTGAAAAAGAATAAAAACAAAAATAAAATAGAATATTTTTGGATTTTTGAATTTTTATGATTTTTGTTTGGTTTTAATTCTCCCCGTAAATATGTGCATGGAGGAGAAATATGAACAAATTTAAATAAAAACAAAATATGCAACACCCCAAAATTACCGGTTAAAATTTTCATTTTTAATTTAGGTTAAATCATAAAACATCATTACAAAACATTCATGATAATAATCCATGTCTGAAAACCGGTGACATCATAATAAGAATTCAGAGTACATCCCAGAAAATCCATAGTGCGGAAAAACAAAAGCGTATGTGTGATATGCTGCTACCGCGCCGGCTCTTTTCCCTTAGCTGAAGAGGTACCTGAAACCATAACTGAAAACTGTAAGCACGAAGCTTAGTGAGCTCCCCCATAATACCTCATACCATGCAAGCATATAATATACAACATTCAACTAGGAGTTACGGGACCCGCCCACACTCATGAAGATACGGGCCATGCCCACACTTCGCTGGCCGGGAGATACCGGCCTCACCCACACTCTACTACTTGGGAGATATGGGCCTAGCCCACACTCCACCCTTGGAGAGATACGGGCCTTGCCCACACTCAACCGCTAACCCATAACATACAGGTATCACACAGATAACAAGTATAGACAACTTTATCATACTGACACATATATCATAATCAACTAACCCAAGAGATACGGGCTCGCCCACACTCTAGTTCTAACATCTCGTCTACACGGGTCGGCCTTGGTGCCGTAGACCCATTCCTACTGGAAGGAAAACTCACCTCGAAGTAGCTACTAGTCTGTGTGGGAATTGACTGTCTGCTGCTAGTGCTGCTCCGGAAATCCTCCGGCTATAATTCCCACAAAACACTCAATCAAACACCGCTAACTAACCCTCGGGTAAATTGACCATTTTACCCTTGATCAAGTTAAAAGTCAAAGCCAGAGTCAACTTTCAATCGACCCTACTCGCCGAGTTAGCTCTCCAACTCGCCGAGTCCTTGTCCAAACAATTGTTCTGCAACCCGTCTCTGCTCGTCGAGTTGGGCGTTGACTCGACGAGTTCTCCTTCTAAACTGATGTCCAAGTCCTTCATCCTACTCACCGAGTTGTATGAACAACTCGTCGAGTTCATCTTCATCCGATGAACAATTTATGTTGTGACTCGCTAAGTTGTATGAACAACTCGCCGAGTCTGTCCTTGATTCTCATAAGATTGCCTTGAACTCGCCGAGTTCCCTTATGGGTGAATTTTGGCTTCCAACTCACCGAGTCCACCCTGCACTCACTACACAACTCGGCACAACGAAAAAAAAAGGACAACTCGGAGACTCGCGACTAGCCTCGCCGAGTCAGATGAGCGACTCGTCGAGTCTGCTTGATGCAAGAGCCATATACGCGATTTTGCTCGAATCCAGTCCATGTCATTCATAGATCTGGGTTCCTAGAGCATGAATAACACATAAAGTTTCCAACTATACGTGTAAATATTCACCCATGAGGGTTTTAGGGTACAAAATGCACCAAAAGAGTAGATATAAGGTCTTCATGCAACATGGGTCCATAAAGGCAGTAGATCTGAGATCCTGGAGCTCAACCATGCCTAGATCTAGAGGCCAATCAACTTATTATGAATTATAATGCACATACAAGCTTGGGGAAGGGCTCAAGAAAGGCTTTAATGGAGTAACAAGCATAGAAACAGGGGGAAAACGAGTTTTACCTCAAAGAAATCACTGAGAGAACACTAAGATGCTTGGCTTCCTTCCCTTCCTCTTGATCTACTCCACTTCCTTCTCAAAATTTTCAAGAACACACACTAAAATGCCTCAAACTCACAAGAACAAGAGCTAGAACGTAAGGAGAGCTTCTGAGGGTGAAGGGGGGCTGGCTTGGGGCGAAAATGAGGGCTTAATTAGGGTGCAAACCCCTGAAACTTAGGGTTTCATCCAACAGCAGTGACTCATCGAGTCCAGGATATGGACTCGCCGAGTCACCAACTTAAATGTGTCCCGGGTCCCGTCTCTACTCGGCGAGTCGGACCTATGACTCGTCGAGTCCAAGGCTAAAAAAATGGAAAATACTCAAATAAGATTTATGTACCAGGAACCAGGTGCTACAAAATAAAATACAAAATGTACAAAACAACAAAAAAAACTTTTAGTCTTCAAAACGAATCATTTTAAGAAAACTTAGGAGTATCAAAAAAAATTAAACCGTAATTCAGCAATTGAAGTTGCATCCAGATGACCTGAGAACAACAAGCAAAATCAACAACATATTCAACCTTGCCTGCGTTTCATTTCCGGAACGAAGTTAACATATTTAAAATTCATCACGCCGTTAAATACAGTCCCCATTTGTGTGATCTTTTCTTTCATCCTTTTCCCACAAAGAACACATGATCTCCATTAAAATTCGGAATGTCATGCATAAGAGAGATGTCCCCTATCATGTGCCTGGAACAACCACTATC